GATCTCTTGAAATTTCTGTGCGTTTGAGTAAAGCTTCCAGACAGACGGATTCAGATCAAGAATAGCTGGGCTCACAGTAAAGTGTGAATATACAATTAAAAACAGGTCAAAAGAACTTTTTGATTCTTGACTAAGATTATAGCCCCGATTCTGTGAATTTTAAACTAGGACCAGGAAATTTAGATAGTTGCAACTTGTGTCAGCGACGTTGCTGGAACCTTTTATTGAAGTTTAAGTAATAAGTTGTAAAGCTGTGGGTTATATATATATAATTATATATAGGCTATAGAAAACTAAACTTTATCAGGTGTATACCCTGCTTACCTGGGCAGGCTATTAAAAAGTTAGTTTGCTCAAAGAACAATATATTTAAATTCTATGTTCTCAAATTCCATCCTGTTTTTCACAGATGTAGTTAAATTTGATGTAACAATCGGCATCATTCAGTGCATAAACTCCATGCACCTTCCGTAAGTGGACGCAGTCCTCGTTGCCACCGTAATTATTAGGTTCTCCGGGATACCAGTTTAAGAATGTCGCTTTGCGACCCGTTGCTAACGAATAGAACTCACCCTCTTTGCCAAGATCGTTAGTGCCCAGCCAATACGATGTATTAATCAAATGCCTTTCCACTGCATCAAACTCTGCCCGAGTCTGCAGATTAGCCAGATGTCCGCCAAATTCGCGACACCTATGCGCTGCCTCAAACCAGTTTAGCCTTGTAAAATGATCAATATAATAATATTTGTCTCCTATTTTGGCAAATACTCCCATATCTTCGGATTTTCTTGCGTTGTTTATGTCTTCGAAGCTTTTTGTTTGTTTTTCCAGTCTATCAAACTTCTCATGCAGCAAACGTTCAATGTTTTCGAGTTTATTTATGGTTTCCGATATCTGTTTAGCTTCATTTAGGTCTACTTGCTTCTGTAATCCCCTTGTGTGCTCCAATATGTGCCTGACGACTTTAAAGCAATATCTGCCACAGCTAGATTCGAGATGCCTCGACTCCTCACAACTCTGTTGGAAGGAACAATCAGTTTCTACTATATATTTGCAAAGTTCACAGTTTTCACTTGCCTCGCTGCTCTGCTTAGCTAGAAAATCATAAAAGCAAACTGTAGAAATACTCGATTTACTGCGATTTAAATGTTCATTTATTTTTATAAAAATTTGTTTACATACAGTACATACAATTTATTGATACAGTATTAAATGGACTGTTGTATATTGTTTTGTCAAAGGAGAAGAATTTTAATTCTTCTCACAGATAAAGTTAAGATAGTCGTTGCAATCTATATCATTCATTAGATAATTAGAATGTTGCCGCATTTCGACGCAATTTTCACCATTAAACGAGTTACTTGGGTTTCCAGGACTCCATTTCAGGAACACCGCCTTCTTGCCAGTAGTTAACGATATATATACGCCCTCGTGATCATTGTCGTTGATATCCAGCCAATAACTTAATTTGTATAACTTTTGTCTTAAAGCATTTAACTCTTGTTGATTCTGCGGACTCGCCAGATGTCCACCAAGTGTTTTACACTTGGCTGCTGCAGCGTGCCAGTTAAGCTTTTCATCGTGTTCTATATAATAATATTTGGATCCAATTTTCTCAAAAATACATATATCAGTTTTGTCGCTTCCCTTAACTATACTGCTTAGATTTTTCCACTGATCTTCAAACTTTTCTTCTAGTGTATGTAATTTTTTTTCCACTGTATCAAACTTTTCATAAAACACTTTCATTAAACTTTCAATGCTCTCCAATTTGGCTAACAAATTCGAATTTTGTTTATCCTGACACTCGACTTGCTTCTGCAATGCTGTTTCAACTATTTTGCCCTGTAATTTTTGTTCGTTACTTTCCTGCAGCAAAGTTTTAATACTCTCAAGTTGGATAATTTGTTCAGATTTCTGTACTATATCAAATCTTTCGACCTGCTTCTGTAATGCCGTTGTGTGCTCCAATATGGGCCTGACGACTTTAAAGCAATATCTGCCACAAGTAGATTCGAGCTGCCTCGACTCCTCACAACTCTGTTGGAAGGAACAATCAGTTTCTACTATATATTTGCAAAGTTCACGCTTATCACTTGCCTCGCTGCTCGCGTGTGCAGTCAGGACTGCGATTAAGATCCCAAAATAAATGATTCTCATTGCGAATTACTCAATGTTGACTGTCGCAATAGGTTTCGTCTACTAAAAATCTCTCAATGAATCATTGTTAATATATATGCTGTTATCAAGAAACGAAGCTAAATTTGTCTATCTCTCGTAATTTCACTTGAAATTGGTGCAGTTGAACCCTGCTGATCTGCTTGAACAGCCATAAAAACATACAAACAAACTGTAAATGTTCTTATTTCACTGTGATTTCAATGTTTATTTATTTTTATAAATATTAGGTACTGTGTCAAGTTTTTTGATATAGTATTTAATTGAACGTTTTATATTGTTATGTCAAAGGAGAAGACCTTACTTTATTATTGTCAGTAGATTAAATGTTTTAATTATCAAATTTTTTCTCACAGATAAAGTTAAGTTTGTAAAAGCAATTTAAATCATTCATTCGATAATCATTTTGTCGCCGAATTTCGACGCAATGCTCGGCTTCGTTAGCATAGTTATTTGGTTCTAGAGCTTCCCACATAATGAACACCGCCTGCTGGCCAGTAGTGGACGACATAAATGTTCCCTCGTCAGCTAGGTCGTTGATATCCAGCCAATAACTGAATTTGGTTAACTTTGCTTTTAAAGCGTCGAACTCTTGTTGATTTTGCGGACTCGCCAGATGTCCACCAAGTGTTGTACACTTGGCTGCTGCAGCGTGCCAGTTAAGCTTTTCATTGTGTTCTATATAATAATATTTGGATTCAATTTTCTCAAATAAACCTATATCAGCTGTGCCGTTTGCCTTAACTATTCTGTTTAGATTTTTCCACTTATCTTCAAACTTTTCTTCTAGTGTATGTAATTTTTTTTCTACTGTATCAAACTTTAAATGAAACAGACTTTCAATGCTCTCCAATTTGGCTAACAAATTCGAATTTTGTTTATCCTGGCATTCGACTTGCTTCTGTAATGCTGTTTCAACTATTTTGCCCTGAAATTTTTGTTCGTTACTTTCCTGCAGCAAAGTTTCAATACTCTCAAGTTGGATCATTTGTTCAGATTTCTGTACTATATCAAATCTCTCGACCTGCTTCTGTAATGCCGTTGTGTGTTCCAATATGGGCCTGACGACTTTAAAGCAATATCTGCCACAAGTAGATTCCAGCTGCCTCGACTCCTCACAACTCTGTTGGAAGGAATAATCACTTTGTATATTTCTAAAGTTTACTCTTATAGTACAACTTGCCTCACTGCTCGCTCTTGCTGCGAAAATTGCGATTAAGATCCCAACGAAATTGATTTTCATTGCGAGTTACTCGATGTTAACAGTTGCAAAGGCTTTCGCATACTAAAAACACCTTTAAGAAGCATCATCCTTATGTATGTTGCTATCTCTTGATAATTGATGCAGTTCTATAGCTACTGACCTGCTTGAATGACTATGTAAATACGGTTATCGTACAAACAATTGGCATTTGTATATTACAATTCCTCGAAGGTGACATCTCTGATCCCCATATCAACAGCCCTGATTCTACGGACACTTGACCTGTCTTTCGATTGATTTCCGTCTTATAAACATAAAATTTAAATAAATACATATAAACATAAATATAATATTTGATTTTCCACTTTCTTTCTCGCTGGAGCAACATTTATAATTATTTAAATTATTTGTCCATTTTGCAGTCGTCCAGCACGATGATGACGCTTAAGCAGACCGGTATTCCCGCCTCCGAATATGATGCGATGAAGACAAATTGGTATCGATACTATTGGCATAGCATCAAGCAAACCTTCGGATTTGGCTCCTCCATATCTGATGCCTTATAAGCTGCACCATGAGCACATGGACACTGGCCAGGCCTAAATGCTTATTATCACACGAGTTCCATTCTACAGCGCTGCAAATTGATTTTCACCAACTTTAAGCTATCATTTCTGTGCGGCTCCGTGCCGGCGCACTCTGTTAACACTTGAACACGGTATTCAAATTTATAGACGGAAACACTGTTCGACAGCAGCAGCAGCAGCAGTAACAACAATATTAAATAAAACAACAAATCAGGTCATTTAGTCATTGTTCAAGCTATGCCACACACCCGACATTGATTCACACCTTATCTAAATGGCGAAATAAATGAAAAATCTAAATGAACATCTATGCGAGTCTAATCTAATGATGGGTAAATGGGTAAAAGATATTCTAATTAATGGGTTTAATTCAAAAGCGTTAATGAATTATACTCTCTTATAATGCCAATCTACCGATCTTTGAACAAACCCGTTTTGCTTGTGCCGCAGATTCGATTAGCAATGCTTTTTTCAGCTGCTCCTAGATGAAACTTAAAACTGGCATAATCCGATTCACCAATAAGAAAAGCATCGGTGGTTCAGTGGTAGAATGCTCGCCTGCCACGCGGGCGGCCCGGGTTCGATTCCCGGCCGATGCAAATTTAAATTTTTAATGCTTTTAAATATTTTACATCATTTCAATATTTATTTTTTCATATATTTTGCTGATCGAATAACATCGATTAAAACGAGTCGTGACAAAATAAATTTAAAACCAAAACAAGGTAACAATATTAGATTTGTTAAATGCCTTGACCAAAGTGTATCAATTAAATTGCATCTGATCATAGCATAGTTATCCATCATAAGAGACTTAACTTTTTAGTTGATAGATAAATAATCCTTAAAAAATAAATTGACATATTGAGTCAAGGATATGTACCACAAAGTGAACAAATTAAAATTGTTCGCAGCTATAATCTTCTCTATATATAAAACTGTTTGTCCTGACTGACTGACTGATTGGTGATCAACGCACAGCCCAAACCGTTAGAGCTAGGAAGCTGGCATTTTCACTGTAGTTACATTATTTTATGTAGGTGCACGTTAAGACGGGGTTACGGGAAATTCCACCCGCACGTGTGGAAAAATCGCGAAACACGTTTGTATGTAACTTTTTTGTTTACCATCCGATCGGCACCAAACTAATTTTCAAAGATCTATGTTCAAATTCATTTGAGGGGTGTTTCACACTTTTTGAAAAATCCATCCCTCCTTGGTGCAAATGGGGGTCGAAGATTTGGTGGATGTCGTTTTGTGTTCAAATTTATTTCCAAAGATCTATAAGAAAAATCATTTGAGACGTGTTTCACATTTTTCGCAAAATCTAAACTCCTTCGGTGGAAAATGCATTTCAAAGATTTTTTTTGGTGAATTTAAAGTTTTGTCCGATTTGCACAAAGGTGTTTGATTCCCGTCCGATCAGTTTCAAAATCATTTTCAAAGTTTTTTGAAAACATTGATTTTATAACATACGTGCCACGGGCAAGGCCGGGTTATACCCGCTAGTCTTTTATATAAATTTTAAAATAAATATTTTTAGGAAACCATAATATTGCGATCTTTCATATTTAGCAAAGGAAGTAAGAAATGTATTTAAATTATAGAAGCGACTCTTCCACTTAAAGCATATGTATTATCAAACTTTTTTTTTTTAACTTTTGAACTCTTGAACATATTTCTGCGAGCACTTGAGTTTAGCTTAAGATTATGGTTTTAAGCTCTAAGATGGTTAGTTTTGATACTTGATTAATACAAGCATCGGTGGTTCAGTGGTAGAATGCTCGCCTGCCACGCGGGCGGCCCGGGTTCGATTCCCGGCCGATGCAATGTTAACTTTTTAGATTTTATTATGTACAAACAATACATATACATGTGTTTTATTTTTTATACATACATAAAAACTAATTCAAGTCAATGCCTGTTTATGGCCTACTTCAGTTTGTTTATAAACTTGTTGTTATATTAATGCAGTCATAACCCTAATGTTGTAAATAATCAATGAATTACAAGTTAATATACATATACATATATATAAAATATTAAAAACAAAAAGCAACATCGACGATAATATACGATTGTAATTTTTTTGTTAGTACACATTGGGCATGATCGGTCTATAGTTTAGTCAAGTGAATTTTGCATAAAATAAAATAACTCCAAGTCCACATATAAAACCTAACTTGTCAAGTTTAAGTTTTATTAATAAATTTGTCAAAAGCTTAAGACTATAAATTTTGAACCGGTCTTTATAGAAGCATCGGTGGTTCAGTGGTAGAATGCTCGCCTGCCACGCGGGCGGCCCGGGTTCGATTCCCGGCCGATGCAAATTAACATATTTTGTAATTTATGAATGCAAAGTAGCAGCTTTTTACTTTGTAAATTAAATTATTTATGTCTTCAGATTGCTTACCATATTGTGAAGAGTTCCAAGTGCCTTATGGAATTGATTTCTTGTGCGTTGTCAAATGCATTTGATATTCCTTGAAGCTGTTGCTCTTGAAGGGATCGGCACAAGCCGAACACTCGTAGATAAACTTGCCCGGATGTTTGCCCGTCTTGACGATGTGCTTGCGTAGGTTGTCCAAGCTGCTGCACTGGAAGTCGCAGTGGGGGCACTGATGGGGCTTCTCCCCGGTGTGGCGACGCATGTGCCGGCTCAGATGACCCTTGATGCGCGCCCTGAACTCGCACTGATCGCACGAGAACCATTTGCCACCCTCGCCCAGCTCTGGCCCGGCTACATGCGACTTGAGATGCCTGCAAAAAAAGAGGGAGTAGAGAAAACTGTTAAGTATTCGCACTGCAAAGCCATATTTAAAATCTTCAGCTTGATTAGACGTTAAATTCCAGTGGCGGCTGTCCCCCAGCAACGCAGCCAGCAACTAATTGCTAATTTCGCATTCGAATCGCACGCTCGAAATCAAAATACAAAATACGAGTAAGTTGGCAACGACTTTGGCCAAAGCAAAAGAACGCCACCGATCTTTACCGGCACCGGCACCGGGACAGGCACCGGGACAGGCACCGGGACTGGCACCGGCACCAGTAGCCAACACCAAGACCCAATACCCTCAGATCGAGATCAGTTTTGTAAACAGCGGCAAAGCGCATTCGGAAATCGTCGTTCGCAGGGTTAGGCTCTGGACGCTGTGGTCAATGGGATATATAAAATATTCAAATATATTAAGAATGTTTATTCAAGGGATAGTTAGATATGCATAAATATATATAACTATAACTGGTGCATTTTTCTAGGGTAAAAACGGAAAAACAGAACCCAATTTTTCTGAACAACTCGGACATCGAATCAACACTTCGTCGTAACATACACATATACTTTATGTAGAACTTCCTTTTCTAGTGTAAAAAAACCCATCTATATATTAAAAATTTATTTTTATGGACAGAACTTTAGCTAGCACTTTTTGTAAATTTAATTTAAAGTCTTGAGTAAGTAAGATCTCTTTTGGTATTTAAAATATGTGTCCAAATTAATCATCCCGCTGATATAATAAGTACCGTATATAGATTTTCGTTTCTATCTATTGTAAAAAACAAATCTTTAATATTTCAAATGCTTTTTTATGGCCAAAACTTTACTTAATACTTTCTGCGTCAAAATCCTTTTACCATTTGTAGACCTCCATTTACCCTATCAAAGACCCTTTCCTGTCCCGAACTCTAGATTGTACTTTCCGCAGTGTCATCCATTTCAGAGCTTTAGAAAAGTAGAATATATTTTGGTAAAGCCTCTCGCTGATCTTTGAACCCATATGCCCGACCGAAGTGTCTGGCATACACGACTGAAGGGTGCACACAGTTACGCGCCTTCAATTACGACCCGATGCCGGTTCGGGCTTTTCGAGCTGTAGTCGACTCCCCTGTGCCCAGAAGCGGGATCGAGGCCTGCGGCTGACGCTCATTTGTTGCTGGTGTTGTTGTCCACTCCACTTATCAGCTACTGTCCAAACCGAGGACTCACAATTAATTGCCAATGTTCTGCGTGGTCGCCGAATTGGAATCTGTGTGAAATCTCAGGCACAGCTACAGAGAACGGCGGCAACGTAGGCGGGGGTGGGGACGTGGGCGATGGCAACCCTAGCGCGGCTCATGCGCAGTCGGTAGGCTTAATTAGCGGCAAGTAATGTTGCCGCTGTTGCAGTTGCAGCTTCGTGCTTGGCAGCAAGTTGTAGGAGTTACCTCCACCACCTCCAACTCCTACTCCTCCTCCTTCTCCTCCTCCAACCGCTCCCGCTCCCTGCCCTCGGTGCGTCTTCTCAGGCGTCGCTTTGAGCGGCGTCCGGCAATGCCGACAACCCATCGAACGTCCGAAACGAGGCCGAAACTGGACGCGTTTTGGCCAGCCTTTGAATTCCTGGACAACCCCGCTCTTTTCTTTCTTTTGATAGCTAATTGAAGATCTCGACTGCCAGTTAAGCGCATCACAACTGTGTCTGTGTGTGTTTTAGTCGACTCTTGTGGGATTTATGCATGCCTGACAACTTAACCTACAGAACAAAACATTTTTAATGAGCTCAGTTGTGGCGTTTCGGACAATCCCCCAAATTGGGCGGAAGCAACTCAAGACTACCCCCCCTAACCTCTAGGTGTCAAAGATTTGTCTGTATTCTCTTGTTCTCTTATTGACTTCAGCTGCTTGAAAGATAAAAGCCTGCAATTCAAATTAGATTTCCCATGCTTTTTCCACCCGTTTTAGTGGATTTTTCGTGATCCGAGAAATAGTTTTGCTGAAATGCGTTTAAAGATCATCCAGTGATTGTTTGCTCTTCACTCATATTCCATTCTCAAGTCAAGATTTGTCTAGATTTTTCCAAAACAAGAGAAAATAAGAAGTTCCAGCCATTTTCTGCGAATCGGGGGATTATTCTACAATTTGTGTAATACGATAACAATTATTTATCGTAAGGTTTTTTTATTAAACTGTACATAAATGTTTCTATTTTTCGATTTGTCAAAATAATTTTCAAGCTTTCCTCGGCTGCATATAAATTTTAATTTTTAACTATACATTTATAAAATAAAAACAAAATAATAATTCTGTTTACTATCAGAATTAAGTCTTCAAATAAATCGAAAGGTATTTTACCTCGTTAAAAAAATCTCAATAAATATAAATAAGCGTTTTGGCCAACGTTTGAGTTCTTGGACAAGCCGTTCTCTTTTCATTTAGGATAACTTCTTGATCTCGACTGACAGTTAAGTTATATATAAGAATACTATTAGTATAATAAATGTAATTAAGATTTATTACTTGAATACAAGGTTTAAATTGTACTTCTATTTTTCAATTATTTCGACATTTTTTCCACACTCAATTTGTGGAATAAAGAAAGAATTCTTCTTTGTTACGCTATAAAATTGGATGTCAGAACGTGTTCCAAAGAGTCGTCTTTCGGCAACAGATCCCCAACGAGCATTTAGAACTTTTTCGAAAGTTCTTCTGCATAATACAATATAAATAGTTAAGTATAGAAGTGCACTTCGCATAACTATCCAGCTATTCGATATTAAATATTCAAATTCTGTGCAACAGCAACAAAAGACGCAAAAGTTGTCCCCCATCAAAGCGATCGCAGCGATGCGTCGCAATGCTGCCAGACGAATACCCATTTATACAGCTCCCAGTTGCAGTAACTATATGAGTGTGTGTATGTGTGTGTGTGTGTGTGATGCAGTGGGGCGGACAGCTGCACAGTGGCAGGCAACGGTGGCAGTGGCAGTGGCAATGCCAATGCCGGCGATTGGCCCAAAGTCCGCGAACGTTGCGCCATTCGGATGCAGATCGACGCTGTCGCTGCATCCATGCGGGGGAGCAGGGGCAGGCGTTGTAGTGGCAGGGGCGGGTGGGGCGGTTGGGCAGCAGCAGCTGCTGCCGCTTCATTTCCAAATAGCCATTCACGTCGCGTATCTTTGGGGCCAGTGGAGAGCGCACTGGAAATATTACAAGAATTCAATGTGCATATCAAAGGCGATCGATAAGTCACGATTTTGTGGTACGACTCGGTCGACTCTCGATCCGATCCGTTCGACTGCCTGCTCCGCAGCTCTTTGACTGCGATTGGCACTGCCCAGTCAGCAGCTCCTTTCAGTGGTTGCTGCTGCTGCTGCTGCTGGTCGCTGCCGCTGCAGTTGTTATTGTTGTTGTTGCTCTCATCAATTTATGCAATTGCAATTCAAAGTCTGCAATTATGGATGACATTTTGCTCTTGTTGCTCCTTTTTATTACCATTTCCATTTGCTGTTTGTTTTTCTGTTTTTTGTTTTTTTCTTTTGAGAAATTCAAATTCGTGTAGAAAATGTCGCTCGTTTATTTTGTGCGCTTGGCAATTGTATTTGACTTCATCGGTAAATCCAGATTAGCATTTTGTAGATTAGTAATAGCGCTCCGACATGACATCAGGAATAGGCCTCGACCTCGCCCTGTCGAGTATCGCTTGAATGGGAATTGAGCTCGATTGGTACGTAGTCGATTTATTATTACCTTTTGATTATTTGAGAACGTTTCCGAATAAGCGCATAAATTCTGCAGCCTATTCTCATATAATAGTACATTGTCGGCGACTGGACGATAAAGCGGATTGTAAAAGTTGCCGTTTCGATCGGTAAGAAATGGTTGGATATGGAATTTTGTGTGCGGCAGATTGAAATTCAAATATATTTCGTTGTAAGAGTGCAAATCTATTCGATTGTAAATCCACAGAAAAAATAATACAAGTGCTTGGCAGCTTTTAAGAAGCAGCTTGAGCTAACATGCATGCTAAAATACATGTCAAACTTGCCTCAAAAAAATTACGCTCTACTCACTTTAGTGTCATGTCTTAAGTTTGGATATATAAGTGTGCATGTTTGTACATATATGCATGCATGTTTCTTTTCTATATATGCACATGCATGTAAAAATGCAAACATACATATATATGTACATGCATACATACATATATATGTACATATATACACATATATGCATGCATGTATGTGTGAATGCATTTTTGCATATAAAAACATATGCATTCGTATATACTTATGTATATGTTTGTGTGCAGGTCTGCATATTTTGAATATACATGTATGCATGTTGGTTTGTATTTATGCAAACATACATACATATATACACACATACATACATACATACCTACACACATACATGCATACATACCTATTTACCTACATACCTACAAACATACATATCATACATCAAAACCTGCAGGGCCTACTTGAATTTATGAGAATCGAGGAGTAGAGCACTTGGTATAATACGTTTTATTTAAATATGCAGCACAGCTACAAATAAGCTTGGTCTGCGTTTGTTATTAGAGAACAACCATGCACGCATACATACAATCATAAATACATAAAACCATGCATGCACACACATGCCCACACACACATATATATATATACATAATACTTATATGCCTACGTATAAAATACTTGTATTATTAAATTTTTTGTTTCATATAAGCTCACTAATATAAGATTTGTATAGAATCTATACATTATTTCTTGCTAGTATTCTATATAGGCAGAGGTTAAAATTTCCCATCCCGATAACTCGGTCAAATCTCATCTTATATTCAAAACGTTTGGCTTTTTGTTCGTGGTTTGGCCTCTAAATCAATTTGGCAACTAGATCTACTAAAAATAAAAATTCATGTGGAAATGGTACCCTCAAATATCCTATGACCTTTGTCCAGGTCGAAATTTCCCACTCGTTCAAATCTATTCTGATTTTCACGAGTTTTGGCTCTTTGTTTCTTTATTTTATACGTACCACGGGCAAGGCCGGGGTATACCCTCTAGTGTAATATAAATACTGAATGAAGTATAAATCCTAATATGTATGTAATAATATATAACTTATCTATATATTTAAGGCCTTCTCACTCACCTCTTCAAGTGCAGCTCACTTTTGCCCACATAGTTGCAGTTTTCGTGTTCACACTTGTGACTGCCCTTGGCATGGGATATTAGATGGGTTTTGAGGGCCTCGGGCGTAAGACCCGCATACGAGCAGTCCTCGTGTTGGCAACGAAATTGACGTTCCACCGAAGCGTGGCTCATTTCGTGCAGTTTAAGTGAGTATCTAAAATGAAAATTTAAAGATTGATTTTAGAGTCGGTCTATAATTGAAAAATAGAGTCGGCAGAGGTGGGAGAAATCTGTGTGACGCTCTACGTCACATTGTTGGCTTTTATTTTTTATGTTTTGCATTTTATTAGAAAATTGTTTAATTACATTAAATCAAAGCAAAAGTAATTCGCACCAGAGTCACGTCCCATTCGCCCAGGCCGTCCCGTCAGACAGTCGGCACGTTCGGCACAGGGACACAAACCTGGACGGACCTGGGCCACGTCCACACCAAAAAGGAACACAGTAGTCGTCGTCGGCCCACAAACCAAATGCAAACTCGTTGGCAAAACTTTTGTGCACATCAATTACGGATGCTAATTAATCGAAACAGCTGAGAGTCGTCGTCGTCGTCGTCGACTTTAAAAAGAGCCCAACATTCGGGACTCCTTATTTGCATTTGTTTAAAGAGCACGCGGAATTGAAACAGGATTTGGCAAGAAGAACTAAACAGCTGTGCTTGTGATATGCGATATGAATATATAGAAAAAATGACAGTAGGAAAATAATTATGTGTATTGCTTTTTAGAGTAGATTAAACTAGTTTATCCCAACTATTTTATAGCATTTTATTTATTTTTTTTCGATATAAAACCTTAAATTGGGTTTAATTTTGTTTCAATTGTTGATCAATTTATTTGCCATTTTGAAGAAAATGGCTACAACAGAAAAGATATGTGTTATCAGAAAATATAGAGTAGGGATTATATAACATTAATATATTTTAATTTGTGTAACTCAAGGAATTGCGGGTAGATTTAAGTTTAAGACGGGTGCGAAATGGACAAAAAAGTTATTTTCAGAATTTGAAGCAAGAAACTTGGACACGGACAAGGCCGGGTTATACGCGCTAGGTTAAGTAAAACAAATTCAAATATACACAGAATAATAAAGAGAATAGAACAAATGGATTGTAGAAAGCAGATGAATAAAGCTAGATCTACTATTTCGACTTAAAAAGGCTTTACAGTCATAATGTAATTGCAATTGCCATTGAGTCAGTAAGCGATTTGTGCAATAGAAATGTTAATGTTATTAATTTTGCCAAATAAAAGTTAGTTAATGGAAGAGTATCTATGCGCATAAATATTGAAAATGTTAATTTCCGTTGTTCATTTGGAATTTATGCGGCGTTGGCTCTTGAAAAAGATTCTTCTTAATAACGCGCGACATTAACAAAGTTTCAATCTTTAATCTAAATTCCTCTTAACGGCAACAATGCCAGGAAAAGCAACAGCAGAGATATGGCTATAAGGAATAGTGGGCTCAATGGCACGAAAGGGGCGGCTGGGCGTGGCCTGTGCTGGTGTTGGCGACATTGTCATGCATTTCTAATGATGCCGTCGCGTGGGCGGCAACAGCAGCAGCAGCAGCAGGAGCAACATCCTCGTCGACGGCGACGGCGTTGATATGTGAAATGTCACTTTGTATGGAGTTTGAATAGCAACGAGGATGACAACGACAACAGGATGACGGGCGTGCTGCGAGGAGCACGGCTGGGGAGTCAACGTTTGTCCAAGGCGTTTGCCAGCCGTTTGAGACGTTGACAAAAGGATGCCATTTCACCTGCAGGAGTTTGCCGTAAATTGTTGTTGTTGCTGATGTTGCTGCTGCTGCCATTCACTGGGATAATGGTGCCGCCAGCAACAACATAATGCTAAAAAGAAAAGCAAAGCGAATTAGATGCAACAGCAACGGGAACAGCAACAAAATTATCTTTCGCCCGGTTCGTTCCTTTCGCCTTGTATTTTCAGTTATAACATTAACTTTTATTTGCTCAGCTGCATTTTACAGAGCTGCGTGAACCGCCCTGCCCTGCCCCGCCCGGCCATGGACACCTTCTCAACGCAGTTCTCAGCGATTTCTCCAGCTCGAAGAACTTCTTCAGCTTTAACTCGCCGTCTGTCCCGCTAATTCCTTTTTGCCTCTGCTGTTGTCAGATATATTTTCACGGCACAGGCCCCAAGGACATTAGCGTAAATTAAATTAAATTGTGCGCTGAGCCAATTTGCGCAGGTGTCAGGTGAAACTTGAAGAATATCTATATGCGCATATGCATGCATCCATATATTACGTATTAATATTATCAAAACAATTGCTACTTTTGATAATCGATAAGTTTGTGCCTTAATGTTATCTAATTATTAAGCATAGGTCCGTTTATTTGTTGCAGGCAGTGTATATATGTCGGAATCGGTAGAATATATCTATTAGCTAGCTATATAGCCAACATATGAACGACGGGACGGAAGTTAAATTCTTCTTTTTCAAGCTTTTTGATCAAATTTGGGCTTACCATGAAAGCATCGATCCAAGAAGAATATTATCTTAATTGTATTACTAAATCATATATAGCTATATAGCCAGAATACAAGTCTTAGCATGATATATAAGCAAAATCCAATCGAAATCGGCATACAATATGATATTTTTCTCTAAAGGCAGAATGTTTAAGTAAATGAGTTTAATAGAGAACTTTGCTATTTCTCAAGATATCTTGGCCAATTAAGTTTTGCACATTGCCAGGATAGACTTTCCTTTAAGTCTTACACAAAAAATAGAGTAAAGGGCATTTTCTAATAATACAATTCAAAAGTGAACACTTCCATTTGATTACAAAATATGCAAAGATGCGGCCTTTAAGAAGCCCAAGATCTACTGAAGTTTAAACTGAAGCAGAGCATTTAAAATCTAAACACGCCCTGCATTGAGGCGCCGCCTTTCAATACGGATGCGAATGCGGATGCGGATGCTGATGCGGATGGTGGTTCCGATGCAGCGAAGCTTCGTTGCGATTAGTTGACGAAACGTTTCACGCCCGGCGACGAAAACTTTGCCCTTTTGTTCTGCATTCAATGGGTGTGGGTGAGGCGGATCTGGGAAGCGAATGGTGGGTTGCCTTCAAAGACCAACTGGGGCGTCTCCAGGAATCAGTCGAGCAGCAGCTGCACGCGGCAAAGAAGCTGTTTGGCTTTGGTGTTGTGTCAACTTTTGCACGCCATCCATTAGGAGCGCGGCGAGACGGCGGCTGGGGAATGCAATAGCAAAGGACAACTGGCAGGAAGCCCAAGATGCTGAGCAAACATGTTGCGGCTGCGGATGCGCGGGCGGGTGTGCATGGGGAATGCGAGCTGCGGCAGGTGCAAATGTATCCTGCTGCTCATTGTCAGCTGCATGCGAAGGTGCCACGTTCTCTCTCTCTCTCTCTCCCTCTCGCATGTCTTAGACAATCGCATGTGTGTGCTGGGGAGTGGGCTGTTGCTTGGGTTTTTGGCCAAAGTCTGGGCGAATGCCACCCGTCGCAGTCAATGTTGTTGCGCTGGCATTGTTGTTCCCAAAACTCGTATAAATATTTATGACAGTCTCTCTCTTGCTTGTCGTGTCGTGTCTTGTCTTGGGCTCTGCCTTGTTCTGGGCGGGTAAGTTTTGTGCCGCGGGTGTTAGTCACCAGTGCAGCGACTGCTTCCGGTGTCAGTCACAAGGATGTGCTCAACTTTTGCCAGCCCCCCCCCAGCACAACCACGCCAAGCCCAATAGCCATAACCCCTTATCCACAGCCTCAGCCAGTTTCCCATTTCTTGGCCAACTTTCATGTAATTGGTACGTAAGTCTTGTGCCGTCTTTTCAGTTCCCAAGTTGTTGTTCGCTTGTGCGACATTAGCTGGATTTTGATGGCTCGTCCTGTGTTGCATGTGAAATTAGTTACGGGGGGCGTGGCTGCACATTTATGCCATGTGTAATTAGGGAAGTGCCCAACACCTTTCAACATTGCGCGTTTGCCTTTTGCCGCTTATCTGGCTGGCAGCCCAAAACTTGATGCTACGCAAGTATCTTCGCCGGAAATTACCGTTAAATGTCACCCTTGCACTTGTACTCTTCACACACACACACACACACACACGCTGCTTGCCTCAAGGGGCATGCCCCATCTTCGCACTGCATTCCTATTAATGCCGCAGCGAGCTTCAAGTTCTTAATGTGCAAAAATGTGCTCAAGCTTCGGATTAGTTGTACGCTGTGAGCCAAATCTATTTTAATCTTGTTTACTTTTATGAGCATTCAAAGTATTCCATCTGGCTATGAAAGCACATAGGTATTATCCTGCCTAGGCACATGTCCAAAGAACATTTTACGACGTTTTTTAGCATGGCAAAAGATAGACGGACGGAAGGCCATGATCATATCGACTCAGCTTACGGAACTTTTGAAAAATATTTTTGATGGTGTCAGAGACGTCTTCTTCTATGCGACCAAAAATTAGACCCTCTACAAGGGTAAGAAAAGAGTTTATGTAGAAGAAACAGGACCTTTCGACAATGTCCCGAAAAGAGATGTTTGCCCTGGGAAGCTTTCGAATGCATAAAATATGATATCTTATTTAATACTCTTGTAGACATTAGTGAAGCTCGTAAATGCTGAGTTTGATGAAAATATCTGGGAGAACAGAATATTTTGCCATGCAAGAACCTATTTTTGGACTGATTGCTTCTATGGCAGCTATTTGATATAGTCCGATGTTGATCAGATTTGGTTTATATGTTGGTCAAGATATCTAGATACAACTGTCCGATCACGCCTGTTTCGACATATGTACAACAGAAAGACGAACCTATACAAGGTTTAAATACAATAACTTTTAAGCTGGGAGACTAGTTTGCATAGAATCAGACAGACGGACAGATGGACATGGCTATATCAACTTGGCTGTTAATGCTGATTCAGAATATATATACTTTATAGCGTTGGATATGTCTCCTTCTATATTGCATGACAGGATTATAATAGCTTAGAGGCTTTATACCTTTGTAGAAGGTATAATATTATCATAAAAAAATTATGATCAAGATTCAAGTTGATTAGTTATCTGAAACTGAAAGATCTTATACTCGAGCTTAATTTTCGACTTCCCTTGTTTAAATAAACACTCAAACACTGAGACATGCATATTTATTTATA